ACTGGACCAGTTTCTCTCCAGCCACTTATGAAATAACCACTCTGAGACTTATTGCCAATTAGGTAGTTGAAAGAATGAGTACGACGTAAAACTCACCCAAGGACCATTTGAGAAACAGAGCAGTTAATGAAGCAATAGAATAGGGGCTGTTAGGCTACACACCAGACCGGTTCATGTCCCAAAGGACAGCAGGAGCTAAAACCCTGGACTCTCTTTCCTACCAGTCCGAGGTAATTTGTATCTCTGCTGGAAACACACCTCCGAGTTAATTTGTAACTTTGCAGAGAATCAGCCTTTGATTAGCAGCAGGCTATCAAATGAATGTCTGGATGGGCCCGTCAATGCTTGTGAAAAGATCTGGAATTTTCCTCACCGTCGTATGCACAAGTTTAGACATCTGGGGCATTTGACAGTGGTGAATGCATGCCTAGGGCAAGGGGAACCCTGGGGTAGAGCTCTCATGTTCTTCTGAACAGCGGGGATTCTATCAGCGGCTTCTTGATAGCGACCAGAACCTCTGTGGCTTTGAATCCTACAATCTTGTTATCAGTGTATATTGCTAATTAGCCCCGGCTTCTGTTATCCCTCTTCTGCCCATACAGACACAGACACACACACATACACACACACACAGAGACACACACATACACACACACACACAGACACACACATACACACACACACACACACACACAGACACACACACCACCGCCACCATGCATATAACACAAGAATACAAAGCAGCTTGAGCCGTGGCTTAGCGGCTAGGAACGTCTAATGCTCTGCCCTAGTGTCCAGGGAACGCGGGTTGGAATCCACCCGGTGATAACGATCATCGATAATAAATCGTTATCTATCAATCGGAAAAAGAAAAAAAAAAGAATACAAAAAGGATTAAAAACATCACATGTCTTCTCCACGGGATAGAATACAGTAGATGGAACTTACTATTGACAGAAAAATGTGGCCTTATCTTTGAAATGCTCTCGGAATTTAAGAGGCAAATAAACATGATTTGCATTAGTTCCCATTCATGGGGATGTCCTCAGTGGGTCTGATGGGTTCCCTAAAGATGCTTTTGCTTATGGCAGTAACCCGGGCACTCCCTCACTTTGTATCAGGCTGGTGTTTCTAGAACTTACTGTGACGGTGGTCCATGGTGTAGATAATTGGCATGCTTCATGAATCTGAAATGCAGAATGTACTCTCCGGTCATTAGGATTCCTGCTCAGCTTTACGGAAGAAGGAATTGTGGAGGGGGCACACTCCTACATGTGTGTGAGGAAGTGCCCAGAGAGGTTTAGCTGGCTTGAGAAACTCCTCTCTGTGTGCAGGGGGTACCATTTCATGGGCTGGGTCCCACATTTCTTAAAAAGAAGACAATAGCATGCTAGCTTTTGTCTCCCTGCTTCCTGACTGCTTGATGCAACGTAACCAGGATTCCCATGCTCTTGCTACCATGTTTCTCCACCATGATGGACAGTATCCCTTCATCAACCGCTGGCCAAAGCAAACCCTTCCTCTTAGACGTCCCTTTTGTCCGAGCTTTTACTGGATATAATGTAGCTATAGCTAAAGAAACTTCAGAAATCACCCAGTTTATGCATCTAAGTTCCAAATAGAAATGTCTGTTATTTATTATATATTATAAGAGGAATATTTATTCCTTGTAGGAGTTTCGAATGTGTGAGAAAGTAGGAACAGGAAATAAACATGCCTGTAATTGAGCCCCTGTCCTCAACATTGTTAGCCTTTTGGTGGATTTCCTTCGCATTTTTTTCATATTTTTAAAACATCTACAATGACATGGACTATACAGTGCTTATACTTATTCCCCCCCCCCATAAAATATTATGGCAGTCTTTTTTCAATGATACCAAAAGCTCTTGGTCAACATGTAAATGAATAAACCATCTTCAGTTATTAGAGGGCCAGGATTCAGCCATGGTTCTCTAATTTAGTTCATATCATCAGTACTGAATAGATTTAAGCTTATGTCTTTCCTAGGATGCAGGCTCTGAAGCGGACTCACTGCGCCCTTATGGAGCAGGACAGTTTTGAGTACCACGCAGTTTGATCCTCGCCTTGGCTTTTACCTTCCCCGTGGCTTTCATTAGCTTCTCGTTACACATTCTACAGGCTCTTGCGCCTTTTAATAGGCAAGGAATTCAATAGGAACTGGATACACGCTGGAGGGAGGAGATAAGCAGAGCCATCAAAATCAGCTCCCAGGAAGAAATGGAAACCGATTCTACGCCTCCAGTGCCACCCTCCTTAGCGTGCGTTATCGCCTCTTAACGTGGCTTAGCTCTTGACTGGCACATGTGAGGAGAGTTAGTAGTTCTTTATTTGTGGAATTGGGGGAAGGCGGAGGAGAGAAGACAGAACTGAAAGTATATTACACGCATGCCTTTCCAGAATCATAATCATAATCACAAGTGTCTGCGAGCAATCGCGAGTGACCGTCTCAAGCGACACAGCTCGTTCTGCTGACCATGAAGGCGTGTGCGCAGAATCAGGCGTGTGCGCAGAACCCTGAGAGTCACGGCTGCTCATGATGTGGCGGCCTGGGGAAGCCATTGGTTTGGGGCTGGGATGAGCATCTGTGGTTCTGCGGAGTGGACAGGCGCCCACAGATGTCCTCATGGCCTGGCTTGTCAGACCACTGCTGATATTGGAAGGTCTCTGGGATCTCCTGAAAGCTAGCTAGGTCCCCGGGACTCCGCGGCACACATCTGTAATCCCAGGACCAGGATAGGAACTGGAGTCAGGAGAATCCCCACCAGCTCACCAGCCCGCCAGGCACAGGGGCAGCAAGCAACAGACTGGCTCAGACAAGATGAAGGCGTGGCCTGACACCCAGGCTTGTTCTCTGTTCTACGCACGCACACACACACACACGTACGCACGCACGCGTACTCCCTATACACTCTCTATTCTCAACTGCTGTATCTGCATCCTTGACCGTTCTTGCTCGTACCATCAAGGCCTCAGGCCAGACGCTATCCTCCCTGACTGCTTTATCAGCCACTTCTTCGGGCTCCCATAGGGCCCTGCGTTCTGTCGGGTCAGCCGTCACAGCTGCTCACTGCACAGACTGAATGCTGGCGCCTCCTCCAGCAAATATTTTTGGGCAAATGAAATAAGGCATCGCACTCTGGCAGAATGATCAAACTATGTGTGCGGGGGGAAAAAAAATCTTATTCCAACACAAACATCGTGGGAGCGCAACTAACAGTGTCTATTCACACAGCATATTGATTGTCTTCTTGCGCCGTGTTTGTAAAAGCGGGGGAAATGGTTCTGTGTTCCTCTGGCTACAGGTTCATTCTAGGACAGACTTGGAGCTGGTCGACCCTGTCAATTCCAGGAAGTCTTGCAGGGGATAATGCCGCAAAAACAATGAGCAGGATGTTTACGGGCCCTCACCGGGCCGAAGCCGCCTTTGATTTCAGCCGTGTTAGAGAGATGGGTTTTTAATCAGTACTTTGAAGCTAAAATTAAAGTCATTCTCATTATTTAAAATATCCTAAGTTGTGTAAGTTCCAGGTTCTAGTCTCATACTAACGAGGAACAAGCACAAAACATCTCACACTTCGAATGTAGCTATCAATAATGTATTGCCTATGAATTTAAAATGGCGTGTTTTGAACTGTTAATATCCACACTTGTTATTTATTTAATCTACCAAAGACTCTTAATCATAACATCTTGTCCCGTATGTATTGACTATATGAGGACTCGGTAACTTTTAATTGTCTATCTTCCTCTGTGAGAAAGTCAACGTTTAAATAGTCTGCTGTATAACATCTAGCTACACAGTAATCATTCGCTGAATGTTTGTTACACGAATGCATCTCTCCATGCCTGCCTCATGCTACACTCATCTGGTTATTTGTTGGGGATTAATTCCTACGGTGACTGGGCAAAAGGGTTCAACAGCAGCCCCTGCACATGCCTGCCCCTGTCATGCTCCCCTGGCACCCCAAGATTTTTGGAATTCAGCAGGTTGCCACTTTGCATATTTCATGGGCCCTTCTCTGAATACTCTCTTGTTACAATGTTACCTCTCAAGTTTCAGAATTTAAGATGCTAAATGTCACCTTGGAGAGGCTTTCCCTTACCACGGGTTCAAGTGAACCCTCAGCCTCATAATCCACCCCCATGTTTATTTTCATGACCATGCATGTCGCTTACATGCTTCTCTGTGTGTATATTTATGTGTCTGTTTTTGATTTCTTTTTTTCCAAACTGCTACCTTCATGACAATGAGGGGCGCATTTGTCTTTTCCAACCGTATTTTCAGCGAATGTGTTTGATAATGGAATAAGCACTAACCGCTGGTTGTCATTGATATGAATTCCGTCCGTGAAGTGGGTGTACTGTATGTGATGTTTTTTCTGCATTGGCAAAGAAGCATCTTTTCATGCACAGGCATCTCCTTTGCGTAGCTAATAAATGGCAAACCTAAACACTCGCTTGGCAGGTCGCTTGGAGACAGTGGTACTTGATCTCTGGACTCCACTGATACGCTGTAAAATGTCTTAATGTCTGAAGCCTCCCTTCTCACCTATGCCCATGTTAGTAACCAGAAACCACAGTTTATCAGTGACTCTTGCTTGTATTTATTTGTTTGTTTTCTATCCATCCGTCCATCCATCTACCCATCTACCTATCTACTATCTATCTGCCTTTCTGTCTGTCTATCCATCTATCTATCTATCTATCTATCTATCTATCTATCTATCTATCCTTCCATCTGTCCATCCATCTACCCATCTACCTATCTACTATCTATCTGCCTTTCTGTCTGTCTGTCTGTCTAGCCAGCCATCTATCTATCTATCCATCTATCCATCTATCTATCTATCTATCTATCTATCTATCTATCTATCTATCCATCTATCTATTTATTATCTATGTATCCATCTATCTATTATATATATATATATACATATATACATCTATTTTATGTATCTATTTATTTATTGTCTCCACAGCTTTTGGAAAGAACCACCACTGGTTTTGAAGAATCAGATTGCGCTGCTCCCAAGAGTCCACTCCACTTAGCGGTAAGCGACTGCCGTGGGCTGCGTTTCCTGTTTGTCTCACAAAGAACAAGCCCCAGACCTTAGCCTGCTCTTGAGACATTGCCCAGAAAGGCCGTGATCAGTGCTAATGAGAATAGCAGAGGCTTTAAAGCAAGGGCTACCAAGAGGGACGGCTTCACCTAGGTCTGGCTTCCCCACAGTTACCTGCCTTATCCTCAGTGTCCTCGTCTGTAGAATGGGGATAAATAAAAAGATGGAGCTTGCGTAAAGTCAGCACCACCAAAGGTGTAATAAATGATCACTGTCAACATTAATCATTTTTTTTTACAAAGGAAGCATTTCAGCTGAAGAACACTGATTATGGAGAGTAATATGCAAATGTTAAACCTATGAATAATCAAATGTCACATTTTCAAATGTCACGATTAAAATCTGTGCAGGGTTTTAAACAAAACTGTGGGAGACTAGAAGGAGCAGGTTTAGAACAGCAGCCATGTCTTTCCTCCTGATTTGCTGTTGGGCCTCAGAGGAGGTTTCTGGCTCCGCTTTGCACGCTGGGGGAGATATGGGAGGAGCAGAGATCTCAGGAGCAAAGCTTCCTTCCAACCTCCCGGCATCAAAGGGGAGAGCATTGACCCCCAAAGTCTCCCTGGAGGTCCTACCATTTCCGTAATTCTGCCCCGGTTGGCATTGGGTTCACCCTTAGCGATTGGCAGTCACTTGAAAGAGCCCCGCTGCCTGTCAGTCACACCAGCCACAGCCAGCTCACCTAGCTACAGTGCTGCTGACTGGTGGTCACTCAGCCATGGTCTGATCATGGAGGCCGAGATGGTACTTAGATGTACCTTTGTTTGTAAATACAACGGGACAGGATTCTAGGAGAATCGGAAAGGGCCAGGTCTGCCTTTAACTGGTAAATTCTTCAGTGTTATTGTTGTGTTTAGAGAGAACGTTTTGTTAATTGATACAGGTGGGCATTCCTACAAGGTGAGAGGAGGCCACGACACAAGGACTGGGAGTGTCCAGGGCCAATCACCCTATGAGAAGCCCGCTCTCCACTGCCTGCATCTCCACATACTTGGCCAGCACACTCAGAGCCTCTGATACACCCACTAACACATCCAGAAACCTTTACACGTGCACACATACGTTTTGAATGCTGTGTAATGCACCCTCCCTCTCTGTTCCCGGAGGTAGACTGAGATGGAGAAGGTGGGCAGGCGGTGGGAGCGTTCACCCAAAGCATCAGAGTGGTTGACTCTAAGAGCGGGCTGTCCTTTAAAATCGCTGCCGGCTGTCAGCTCAACCTGAGCAAGGGCCCCAGAGCGGAGCATGCGCAGATGCTTTAGCTAGAAACCCTGTGGGTTTCTAGAGCAGAGTCCTCCTGCCCGGTGACCGTGGCGCTGACCCGATTGCTGCTGAGAAGAGAATTCCAGGTTCCCAAAAGTTCTGTCGTCTCATTTTGTCCCCCACAAAGTATTTGCTTTGGGCTTCCGGCGTGCAAGGCGCGTTTGCTGAGCTCGCTGGGTCTCCACTCCGATAGGAAAGGCGGGGGCCAGAGAAGACAGGGAGCGGCGAGGCGATCCTAGATGCTGCCCTCCTCCTGGCTCACTCAACTGAACACGTTTTCTCCCGCTGTAAATTTAAGGGAGCCAATCAGATAAGGCTCGAAAGACCCCTTTGAGTTTGTTGGTTTGTTAGTTGTGCGACGTTGGTCAAGTACCCAATGGTTTGTGTCTCAGTTTCCCCATCCTGCAGAAGAAAGGATTATCAGTGCCCCATCAAGAGCCCCGTGGGAATGGCACGAGCTGATCCGGATAAAACAATCAGAAGAGCACCTGGTGGCACTTGTATGTCAACAGCCAGCTTCATCCTTATCAGCACAAGTCTCTCCTCCGTGTGGTACACACTGGCTGTGAATAGCGCCAACCACTTTTCTAGGGGGAGATACTGCGGGGAAGGGACCGAACCTCTAGCCTTGTGGAATTTTCCATGCTGGGGAGAGAGTAGGCTAGCAAAAGCATGTCAGATGGTAATACGTGCCATGGGAGAAAATGGAATGGAATGGGGAGGGGGTCTGGAGCACCGAGGTGGCAGGCCGGGTGCTGTTTCGCAGAGCACAGAGTGCCACATCCTCACAGTGGGCCTGAGACCTTGGCGCTCTGCTGTCTGACAGAAGGTTCTGGGCTCAAGTGTGAAATCCTGGCATCGGAGAATGCTTGGCATGTCTCCAGGACAGCAGCGTGGTCACCGAGGAGGTGGCAGGGTGGCAAAGGAGAATGGGGAGAAGAGGGAGTAGGGGATGGTCGTTACAACATCTCACGGGGTCTCCTGCTCTGTGGCGACGGCTCTGACTATCAGAGACCGCTTGATCAGGTTTGAGGCGATAAACGAGAGTTCTGTGTCAGAGATCACAGACTTAGCAAAGAACAGAAACCAAAGCCAGGAATGCAGGGGCGGGGGGGCGGGGGTGACTTCAACCAGAATGATTCCAATGGGCCTGTTCTAGAACTATTTCATTCTTCCCTCTCCGAGCTGACACCTCAAAAATATTTACTTCAAGACACCTATGAATATATCCCTCACCCTCTCCAGGGTTTGCTGGAGCAATTACCTTGATAAAAGGCAAGGCACGTTGTTCTTAGGTGAAGGCATTCTAGCAGGGGAACAGAACCAGATGCCCCTAAACCTTGACCCCTAGAGAGAAATGACCAGCTCTGAGATACCATTTCCTGCCTGGATGATTCGAATCTCGAGGGTTATCAGCCCAGAGAATCTCCTACTCCATTCTTTCACTTGGAAAATTTAAAGTAAGAAATGAGGTTATAGAAATGGGAGATCCCAGCTGTTGAGATTCCCAGGCGGACTTGCGGTATTCCTGAAATGGGCGGGGCTCCCAAATCCCCTCTTCTCCTTTGCCCACAGTTTCTGTCTTTTAAATGAGTCATGATTAAAGCATTTAAATTGCCTAGTGAGATGTTTCTTAAAATAGTTTAAATTAATAATTTAGGTAATTTTAAAGTCTGGTCTTCCCAGTAACAGCTTAGCAGAGTAAAATTCATCCCTCACCAAGAAACTGTTTGCAACGGTTTACCTGATGGCAAAGGGAAAATCCATTGTCCCCATTGGGGGAGGGGTCTCACTGGGTACATCAACCACACTCCTGGACAGGATAAACCCCATGCTCAGCGGTTTATGGCCAGCACAAAATGTACACCAGGAGGTTTTGCTGTTGTGGGCTTTTTGTTTCAACATTTTTTTTCTTATTGGCTTTTATTTTCATCTTTTGTTTTATTTTTGATTTTTTTTGTTTGTTTTTGAGAGAGAACAAAAACTGAAGTTGTGTGGGTAGGGAGGTGGGAAGGACCTAGAAGGAGTTGGGGGGGGCGAGAAAACATCCTCAAAATATAGTGTATGAGAAAAATTTGGGGGTGGGGGAAGAAGCTACAAGCAAATGGGAGGAAGAGAATTCGTCCTGTAGGTAAATCTGGCTTTTGAGCCATCTGATCATTTGCAAGGGCCTGGTACCCAGAACCATCCAGGCTAGGACTGGAGAGCTGTGATTAGCAGGACTCCATCATTGTGTCTTAGCCTGAGCCGCTTTACCTTGAAAACAATGAGTGGATTTTTGTTTCCTTTTCACTGTGAGGATCAAAGGAGAAGACGCAGGGGCTGACCTAAGTACCTGTAGGAGTGCCGACTGCCTCCTGCCTGTGTGCATCTCCGTTCCTGTGCGTCTCCTCTCTATTAAACCCAAGTGTGCTGGCCATTGTCCTCTGTATAGCTCCATGCACTGTAGGGTTTCCTTGGCTAAATGAAGAGAACAGAAATTGAAATGGTTACTGTTCTTATCATAATGGAGAAGGGGCTAGATTTGAAAGTGCCATCCGGAACCCACTGCTGTCTGCTGGGCCTGTTTCTCTTCAGCATCATTCAGTAAGCTGAATCAAGAAGTACCATTTACCATTAAAGTGGGAGGCCATGGTTTGTAAAGTCAGTTCTCAAATGAGCACCAGATCCACGAGGAGAATTACGTCTGAAAGTCCGATTCACAGCCTGGCGTGGATGTTCCTGTTACTACAAACAGGGTTAAATGCTCCTCGGTTGGCTTAGAAACTACCTATGGCCTAGTTAGTAACGAGATTTACCTGCTGAAGTTGGTGCAGGATTTGTGGAAGGTATTTTACTATTTTGTCTTCTCTGTTGATGTTGGAAACTCCACAGGATAAGAGGCCAAGGACCATGCATCTTAACTGTCATATTGAACTGCCATATTTACTCTCCAAAGGGATCCTGGGTCAGTCTGCCTTACCTGAAACCAGTTTTTTCCACCCAAGCCGCATACCCTTAGTGTAACGAGGTAACTCTGCCCCTCTGGGTGCTCCTTGGTAAGATGATTGGTGATGGTGACGTGAGGTGACGTGTCCCACAGAAGTTGCCGAGCTCACACCAAGCAGCCAGCAAGTGGTTGCTTCAGAATTTAGGTTACAAGACAGACATTCTGTCCTGCTCAGTTACAGCTCTCAACACAGGGAGCTTGTTTTCCTGTCTCTAGAGAGGTTGTAGTATATTGTAAAGGCCCAGGAGTCTAGGGCTTTGTCCCCAGAGTGTACCTTCATGCTCCACGGCGATGGTCAAGATATTTTAAACCTACATGGAGCTTTCTATAGAAGGAATTTAGGGTTTTATTCAACATCTGTTATTCAGCCCTATTCCATCACAGAGAAACACAAAAGTATTTAGCCTTCAAGTCAATCAAATGGAATTCCCAAGGGAAAACTACGTGCCTATTAGACTTCAGATGCCCAGTTCCTGGCTTGGCATCTACCTCAGGCCTTTCTGTGGAAAAGGATGGTGACAGTAAATATGGTGGCCTATGCCTACATATGTGTTGGAGACAATCCCCACACAGAAGAGGCTGGAGCAGAAGGATTCAGGTTTTGAAGCCAGCCTAAGCTGGGTAACAAGATCCTGTCTCAAAGGGGGGCATTTACAGATCATAAATAAGGTGTGGAAGCAGTTGGCATGGTGCCCAGCGCGTAGGAAGTCCTCAGTGAGTCGTTGCAATTATCAAAGCAAATCCACAAATGCAGGGTTAGTATTTGGTGGCAATAAGCGCTTCGAAGACAAGGAAGTGGGCTGAAGAGTGGAAGGATCTTTTCTGTATGCGCTGGGAGGTTTACTTCCCTGGTAAGGCATTTGCGTAGGTGTACCAGGACCGTCAGGGCAGGTGCCGTGGAGAGAGGAGGAAACTCTTGCACGTAACTGTAGAGGGCAGAATGGGTACCCCACAGCCTGGACATGCTAAGGATGCTTGCAGGGAGAGGCCAGAGCCCGGGTCTGGTTGGTCATGGCAGGTTTTGGATTTTGCTAGCATCAAGAGAAGTTCTAGGCTGACTTTGCCACAAGGAGTGGCCTGGCTTCTGCTCTGACCATAGGAAGGTTTCATCTGGTACTGATGTCCATGACAGATCACCAAGGGATAGGGACTGGGGGACACTTTTGCTAGAATTCTGGCCAAACAGCATGGTAAGAGTTGACACAGAGCCTGTATTTCCAGGACACAGCACACAGGACATGGCGTCGGTGTCCTATGAGTGGCGTCGAGGGCTGCCTCCGATTGCACAGCCCCTCTGTGGACTTGAACTGAGGCGTGGGGTTCTCAGGTGATTCCTGAGAACCCCAACATGTCTCTGCTTGAGTTAGTGAAGAAGCACAGTCCTCTGTACTGACCCATTTGGAACAGGGCAGGGCACAGAGGGCGCTCTTTGTCACGGTCTACTACCACACAGCACTCCCGTCCCAGGCACTTGTTCAAGGCTGCAGTCATGAGAGTCAGAGAAATCAGGGGGCCGCCTGAGAATCAGATTGTAATTTGCTGATTGGCCAGGCTGCAGGCAAAGCAGATTCCGGGAAGGAAATCCAGGAACTTAGTACTCAGCACTTAGACATTCAAGAGCAGATACCAAGGGGAGGTCGGACCTGTAGGCTTAGAAATCAAGGGAGAAGTTGGGACAGGGATATGAATAAGGATTCAGTACCATATGATTTTTTGTGTGTGGTTTTTCGAGACAGGGTTTCTTTGTAGCTTTGGGGCCTGTCCTGGAACTAGCTCTTGTAGACCAGGCTGGCCAAGAACTCAAAAAAGATCCACCTGCCTCTGCCTCCTGAGTTCTGGAATTAAAGGTGTGTACCACCACTGCCCGGCTTGATTTATATCACATATTACATATAGGATACACTTTTAATATGTACATATTATCACAATTATTAGCAAAGATAATGAAATGAGAAAATTTTAATTTACCAGTACTCTGAATTCTGATGGATTCCTTTCAACTTACTTTTTGTTATTGTTATTCCATACTCAGGGCAAAAATTATTGAAGTTATTTTTTTTTAGGAAGATAAGGTAAATTAAGTACATACACTGAATACCCACTAGTTCGAGAAATAACCACTACTATTGCTCTCTTTGGTATCCCGAATTTTTCTTGTGACCATAGCAGTACACATGAATATAAATAAGCACACATACATCCTCTTTTTATATAAATGAGGCCATGCTGAATATATTGCCTGCACCTTAGTTTCTGAAAAGCCCTTTTGGATACTGTCATCTCGCCCTCTACAAAGGTCACAGTGACCTACCCGTGAGTCAGAATGCAAGATTGCTTTTCCCCACGCTGTTAATGGTATCGGGTAGGACATCTCCAGTCCTGTCCAGGTGGTCATAAGATAGCACTATAAAAAATTTACGTAGATTTTTATATGTCTATTGGCATTTTACCTCTCTCTCTCTTTCTTCTTCTTCTTCTTCTTCTTCTTCTTCTTCTTCTTCTTCTTCTTCTT